ACACACACTTAAACTCACACACACGCACACACATACACACACACACACACACACAGACACACACGCACACACATACACACACAGATACACACAAACACACACACACACACACACACACACACACACACACACACGCACGCAAACAAACTCATAGGAAAACCCTCTTGATACGATACAATACGAAAAATAGCTTCGAACAACCAGCGAAAGTTTAAAATCATTCTTGCATTTAGTTGGGTTTTTTAAAAGAAGTATTGAGTTACGTTTTTATCTGACAGAGGGCACGGCATCAATGGGACGTACAAGAACAACAATCAGTTCTTGAGGTGACAGTAGGAAGACAGCAATAGCCTGATTGGAGTGACTGGCCAAGGAAAACATCGGCTATGAGCACCTTTTTATTAGGTTGTATATTTTAAATTACCGTTTTCTTGTTAAAAGCACCCCCCCCCCCCAAAAAAAAAAAATATTTAAAAAAATGTTAATCTATAGAAACAGTCAATATAAAAGATCCGACATTCTCTCCTCCCTCGCCCCATTTTTTGAAAAAAGGAAAAGGGGGTAGCAGTCTTTGAACCCTACTCTTGATGAAGCTGACCAGTGTAAGACGCAATATAACATAATTTTGATATTCAGTGATGCTGTGAGGTTGATCGTTCACAAACATTAGGCCTATGTTTTGACATTTCGTAGTGTTATTTGAGGGTTAAGGGGATACGTGGGGGGGGGGGGGGTGTGAAAGGAAAAGAAGAAAAATTATATGAAAGGAGCATTAAAAGGAGAAAAACAAGAGGATTAGCTAACAGAATGGGAACACGATGAAATACAACGCTAATAAAAATAACATCGTTTGGTGTGAACAGGGCGAGGTAAGTCAGAGATAGAAAGAACAAAATTAGATCGGGAACATAAGCAATGTTCAGTATTAGTAATTAAAAATCAGTCACGATTGTAAAATCAATTCTCTAGGAAAAGACTGCAAAGCTGAAAATTTGAGCTTGATTCTTCAGTGGAACTCGGGAAAAGTTGTTGAAACGAAGCAATGTGATTATCAAACCAAACCTCAGCAAGGAAGGTAAACGTAGCATAGCCTATGAGCTCAAAGATTAACAATAATATTATCCTTTACTTTCAGAGACTTTCCTATTTTAAAGTTTATCTGGAGGCCATCTTTTTGTACTGGAATCCCGAGATGAATAACATTCTTTGGACCCCAGCCAAAAGACCCATTCTGCTCAACCACATGGACGCCTGAAACCCTTCTTCTCCTCATTCTATCTCGACTGAATGCTAGTCTATGTGACCACACCCTGGTCTATCGAAACTGTTCACTCACAAAAATATTTGTCATCGTTGCTTTACCTTTTGAAACGGCAGCACCCAAACTGAAGCGGCCAACAAATACAGTTGCGTTGCATTGCACCACAGCAGAACACAGAGTCGAGAAAAGAACAGATGGCGCGGTGCATTGGATTTCCTAGAGACAACTATTGCGGTATGGATACTGGATGGATTTTTTGGGTGCGTTTTAGTTTTTGAAGAAGAACCAAACTCGCCACTAGACACAGATGGACATTTCGATGGTTAACCCCTCTCTGTCTCTGTGAGGTTTTAGGATTTACTTTGTACTTTACCTGACCCTTGATTGCAAGAACTATAACTATAAGCCTACAAGAGGATTGGACGGAAGACATCGGGAAGAAATTATCCCACCCTCATCTAGGATTCAGTGCAGGTGATTGGAGGGTGCCCCTGGTACTGGTAGCCTTAATTCTTTTTCTATTCTCACTCTTCTGCTTCTGTTGGCTTATCGTGCTTTACTGGCACCTGTGGAATAATGACTGACCCCTCATCGTGCACGCAGATGACGTGAGTTCAATTCCCGTGCTGTGAGGTTATGATAATATAAAGTATCTTCGTGTGTCCACTGGGATGGGGTATCCTTACCAGCCTTGTTTGGCCCTGACTGGCAGAATCAAAGCAGCCCGCTTCCAAAATTAAATGTTTGTATCGATAGGGCCGTAAACATTTACAACAAACAATAATTTCGCTTTCCCCAGCACTACATGACCGTTATAGGGTTGATATATTTTTTTTGGGTCGAATTAAACCTGAGAGGGGTCGGTGTGTGAGTGGCATTCCGTCGCCGGTGGGATTGCTTCGTTTGATGATAAAACTCTGGGATATTTCTATATTCCCAAGCAGTGTTTGTTACATTGGATGACACGACGAGTGAACAAATTTTGATTTTCAAACACAGAACCATTCGTATCCTTCAGCCCCCTCGCCCAATACACATACACACTCACATTCACTTGATTCTGTAGGCCCCCACCCCCCCCCAACCCAAAAAAAAAAAAAAAAAAAAAGGAGATGATTTTGAAAAATCAACACAACGTAACTCATAACGCTAAAAATCCTATCCCAAAACTTTCCCTCTCAAAATCACAGATATTGTAAAATCAAACTTAATCCACCTTTCAACTGTATTATAGTGTTTATTGCAGCCATTTAAAGTACATATTTCCTGACATTCCCCCCCCCCCCCTTCTGTTCTTTACATACTTCGGTGATATGCCTACATAAACTCGCCCAAACGGAGTCTTTTCAATGAAGGCTAATGGAATGTGACCCTCGGGGTATCTAGAAGCCGCGTATGTTGTTGTTCCGCAGACTTCACAAAACTTCGTGTGGTGAGAGCTGGTCGCCAAAAAGGAAAAATCTTTACTCACAGCAACAGAAAAAATAGAAACGGTTTGTAGATTCAGATTCTTTCTGAAGCTGGCAATCCCAAGAAACCTTTTGATGGGAGAAAAATAGTACAATGCAGAGAGGAAACGAATCCACAGCAGAAGGAACGTTTGAAAAGAATACGAGAGAATTTGAAATTAAGATCCTAATTCTTTTATGGTGGAAATCGCACTTAAAATAGAACTGATAGTTAAAATACGCTCGCTTTGGAATCGAGAGGATGCACACAATACATCGTCATTGTGTTCAAGAGAGAGAGAGAGAGAGAGAGAGAGAGAGAGAGAGAGAGAGAGAGAGAGAGAGAGAGAGAGAGAGAGAGAGAGGAGGGGAGGGGTTAGTGAAATAGAGAAAAACAAGTGTGTGGTATACAAATCCACGTTCTCCCGAGGTTCAGAGCAACACTTAAACTCAACAAGCAATTAAACGACACAGTTAAATGGGGTTATGTAGCTGTCAGCACAATGTGCAGATCTAATTTTAAAGAAAAGGGTTGTGGTCCAGTAAGGTTCCAGACTACAAAAAGTGGCCTTTTGGCATGGTTAATTGTTTTGTGTCGCAATCCTCCAGAGCTGTCAATTAAAAAGAAAATAAAACAGCTGTTTATTTGGTTAAGAACGAAACGTGGAGCTTGATTAAAACATCGATAGTCTGTAGTTTAAAATTTCCCTTCCCCACTGTGGGTGAGGATGTATTCAGTTTGTATACATGTTGGACCTCGATCGTTTGTTTAGTTTTCATGTCTGACGATGTGCCAACCTGCCAGAAGACGAGATAACGCAATTTACTGAGAATACAGAAGATGATTAAATTGCTTGGGTTGAATTAAGTCAATATTGAAAGGGCAAATACATTTTGTTTAAAATTCAATACTCCCCGTTCCAAACTGTCAAAATGCGCTGGCTCTCTTATTACAAACGGAATTAATGATGACGGCATGAGTCTAACTGGTAGCAGCGCTGTATTTCCGAAGGAGGACAATGGCTGGTGGTGAAAGGGAATCCACATGTTGAAAAAGAGCGAGAGTAAACCTGAATCCCTGCGTGCTCTCTGCTGCTAATTGTTTTTAAAGTTCAAATTCTCAACACAATGTAAGAATACGCCGAGACTAGCGATGTCAGGACGGACGAGAAAGATAACTCCACTCTAATTCGAAGCTCAAACTTCTTTGTATTGCTCGTAGATCAAGTTTGTAAACTTGAGAATCCTTGGCAACTGAAAGTCTACATTTTTTATGGGTTTAATCAAAATTCTATAGTAAAATCCAAGTAGATTTCTGATTCTGTTTTTAAATGGATATAAGCGGCGTTGAGACAAAACACAAAACTTCAATAAAAACTGCCAAACCCGCG